AACGAGTCATGGTCGTTGTACTTCTGTTTAGTTGTAAATTAATCAGGATAAAATCGTTACTTTCGAAAACCGACTAGAATACACAAGCCTCTTGTGACATCACATGAGGCATTAAAGCAGCTCGTTAGTGGTTTTCTTCCTCTTCATTAGCATATTTGTAAAAGTTTCTCCCTCAAAGGTGTTTTCTTAAATTCTGCCTGGTTGTAGCCGAACAGTTCCGCGTTTGAGAGTTCACACTGCATAACTTTCAGGAAAGTGTGGCAAAATTAATCATATTAAAGTTGCTTCTTAGCTTGAATACCCACATTTCATTGTATAAAAAAAAACAAAACAATCTCACTGATGCACTGACGAGTTTCTAGACCTGTTTTGCTGAGTCATGTTTTGCTTCTTTTGAAAATGATCATCAAATAGATTTGATGAGCCCACATCCTAGCTGTTAGCTAAATCATGGATTCAACTTGCAGTACAGCCGATGCTGGTGGCTGAAAATGAGTAATTATTGAAAGAGAAGTGAAAAATATGTATGGAAAATAAACAGATGTGAAAAATAACAGATATACAGGCAAATACTTTGGATTAGTCTACAATATTGGAGTCAAACCCTGGTAAAGATGGAACCTCTTTCAATGAAGTGAGACCAAAATACACCACAATCTTTTCCCCAATTTGGTATGAAACCCTGAAGTATAAACCAAAACTTTAATGCTAAACATAAATAAGAAATTTTGAAAAAGGATGTTTTTTGTTTTGTTTTTTTAACAAAAGTTTCTTTGCTCACAATAGGTCTACCATTTCTGAACTGCAATTTCTTACTCTGAAAAAGAAAACTTCTTTCAGCAATTTAACAGTTTTGGTTTTATGCCTTTAATATCTGTAAATTAGTATCTTTTCTCTACAAATATTTTAATACCTCTACTTTGTTTTCTTTTCTATGAACTGTGCTACATGAATAAACTTACCTTGTCTTTACAATCCATGGATCCTGGACCCAATATTTAAAAAGCCAGAGAAGTAAAATAATGCATTTTCTCCAGCTTTACCCCATGACAGTCCATCCAACACTGCCCCCATGTGGTCAGACATGATAAACCACTGTTATGCTTTTGCTTTTAAATAGCTAATCTTTAAAAATGTTTTTTTTTTTAATGAAACTAAGCATTCTGTTAAAAAGAGCAGTTCTGACTAACCAATTCAAACAATGAAACAGGGAAAGGAAAAAAAAAAACATGTTTTATAATAATTGTATTTGAATCAAACACATTTTAAATATATTATAGATCAAGTACACATACATGTCAAAAACAGTGGTACATGGTACCAAGAGTTTTTTTTTCTGGTTCCTTTCCACATCTAGGTAAGGCTCAAAAGAAATAAAAAATAAAATAAAAATAAATGAGCACACCTTCCAGTTTAGCAGTCAATTCATTACTGAGTTTTGGGTCAGCAATGCTTATGTGTATAAAAACTAAGATCACAATTACAAAAAAAAAAAAAAAAAGACAAATATTCATATAAGGGATAAACCAGAATTTATATCTATATATATATATATATATATATTTATATATGTATAGAACCTTAAGGACGTGGAGTCTGGAGTTTTCTGTCATAGCTGGAGTATTATTCTATCGTTCAGTAAAGGTGCCTAGTCCAAGCACAGGATCCGCTCTTTCTTCGCCTGCCTGATTCACAGTCACGTCGCGAGACGCTCTGCAGTACACAAAGGGCCAGGGCGGGACGGCTAAAATTAGTAAACAACTCCACGCTGCTTCTGTGACTACGACTCGAAAACTTGCTGATTGGCTCTAAGTGGTACAACCAGGCGAGAGGAAGTCACGTAAAAAACAAGGAATGCTTCTAAAAACAAAAAGGTGCCGTGTGGGAGTGAATTTAATGAAGTCCTAGTAGAATCCTCCATAGGTCCGAGATAAGCAATAAACCGTAGTATCAAAATGCTGCTGCTGGACACGTGCTGAATGTTTTCCTGCAGGAGTGTCTTAATGCGAGGCCCTCATGTGCATCTTCATAGTGTTTTGGAGATAGAAGATTGAAGTACTTCAAGTTTTTGTCTCGGTCCATGCGTTAACACACACCCGAACTGACAGCAACACACACACACACACACACACACACGCCCACGCACACACAAGCATAAGGTGAACGGGGAGGAGATAAAATTCTTTGTTCTTGTTTTGAGGGGGGAGGTAAAGCATTTCACTGCGGCGTAAATCCAGCCGACAGACTTAGTCAGAGTCTGCAGGGAGTTTTCTGTCCTTTGGTTCCTCAGTGGGGTCATAGCTGCACACAGACAGAAGAAAACACTTAGCGGATGATCTGTATCCATCACACACACACACATTCCTACTGAGAATCCTGCGGCGGCTTCTGTACCTTGGTGGATTTGCCGGGGCTGTCGTGGTTCGACTGGTGGACGACGTCGTTGACAATCATCTTGGCGATCTTCCACGCCATTTCCTCCTGGGCCTTCATAAAGAAA